CTCTCTCTCTCTCTCTCTCTCTCTCTCTCTCTCTCTCTCTCTCATTCCATTTGTCTGGGATGCTTCTGATTTATGGGCTTCATAATAATGCCCTAGGTCTTTGTCCTATGTGTCTCAGAACAGAAGAAATACTGTTGACCTAATTATATAACATCCCCTCCCTTCCCATAACTAATAAGGGAAGAGAGTAGAAATACAGGTTTTCCTGGATGTACGTAGTAATCTGATGACTGCTCTGCTCAAGGCCTGACAGAATTTCAGAACACAATACATTATAGAAATAACAAGTACTCACAAAGTAAAGGGTTTGAATCAGTGTGCTCAACCTTTACAGGACTGGAAAGGGAAGCTGACACTGGCTTCCTAGCTTCTGGCACTGCCATGTGACTGCTAGCAAGGAAGGTGAGATTTCAAGTAATGCCTCACAAAGGGTATCTGTGGGGGAGCTTTGCTAGATTAAATAAGACACATGTGTTTTGTGATGTAAATTCCACTGTGAAATGATCAATGTGTGAACTGGTTAAGTTGGTGGCTGGGATCAGGTGAATGGTGGGCTGGGGGTTGAGTGAAGCCCCCTTTTTGCATTTCACTCTCCAGGCCTCACTGCACCAGGCTGCTCAGCAGCTGACTKGGGCCCTCTCTGCTGGCCCCATTCTCTTCCTATCCTCTCTTTCATATTCAGGCTGAGCATCCCTAATCCAAAATCGGAAATCCAAAGTGCTCCAGAGTCTGAAAACTTTTGAATGCTGACCTGATGCCATGAGTAGAAAATTCTACACCTGACCTCACGTGATAGGTTGCAGCCAAAATGCAGGACACTGGTAAATTGTGTAAAATCAAAACTTTAAAAATATTTAAAAGATTGTATAAAACTACCTTCAGGCTATGTGTATAAGGTATATATGAAACACAGATGAATTTTCTGTTTAGACTTGTTGTTAGAGTCTATAAACAAGTCAGGATGGCGCCTGGCATTTTGCCAGATAAATGTTAGAGTCTGTAAACAAGTCTGGATGGCGCCTGGCAAAATGCCAGAGGGAGTGGTTTGTGAAGTAAGGCCAGCGAGCCATTAAGTGTAGAGATTCCTTATTGGTTGACTGATATATCTAGTTTATGCTAATTAAGATAAGCTGTGTGGAATGTATAAATATCGCTCCGGTCCTACAATAAACGGCTCCCACTCCTGCTGTATCAACGTACACAAGTTGTTCGTAACCCCCCGGTTATTTTGCTGCAGCCAGACTGCAGCAACTTGTGTCCCATCCCAAAATATCTCACTATGTATATTACAAAATCGGAAATTTGAAGTACTTGTGGTCCTAAGCATTTTGGATAAGGCATATTCAACTTTGTGTGTGTGTGTGTGTGTGTGTGTGTGTGTGTGTGTGTCAGAGCCAAGTCAATAGTAACATAAAGAGTCTTGGGTTAATATGCTTTTGCATGTATCCCTAATTATGTAAAATAAATCATTGAGGAAGTAATAATTGATGTGTCTAATTTCCCATTGCAGACTCTTTTTCAGGACCAGATCTTTCTATATGCTAACATATGCTCACATCAATCATTTATTACCCTTCACAATTAAATACAACACTATAGATTCTCAAGACAATTCACACTGAGCTGGATGTTTTCTTTTTGGAGAAGAAGGGAAAGAGGCCGGCGGTGGTTGGAGGTGGGATACAAGTACTGACCCATTCACCACTCTACTTGGTCTGTCTGATATTAAGTCAACACGTATCTGAAAGTCAGTGGTGGTGGGGGATGGCCTCTTCACATCACCTCTGTGCCTTGGACAGCTCTTCTCATTTGATACCACCTCACAGAGACCTATGCTTCTACCTTGCTGTGTCCATCTGTACACCACATCTAAATAGACAAAGGGGCAGGGCATATGCTCTCAGATCCTGCTTCCTGTCTGTTAGCCTTAAGGACAGGTCTCTGAGAATGCATTAGGTATTTTAAGGTTGGTTCTGAAGCCGAGCCACCTGGTCTGCAGGGTGATGAAACCTTTGACCTTGGCCTCATTAGCTCCATTCTCTTACCTACTGAGCTCACCACTGACATAACACTTGAGAGCACAGCTCATTACTACCTATGCACTGGCATATCTGTATTTACTTGGTTTGAGAGTAGTTCTCGGAGTAAGCCAGCTTTCTCTATTGATGAGCTCTGGCAAATGAGAACAACAAACATACCTACTTATCAGTCAAATCAGGCCAAGGAGAAAGGAGGAAAATTTATGATAAGGTGCATCCACATGCCTCCAATCATATTTGGGAATAAAATGGGGACAGAAATTCCAAATGGGATTTTTTTTTTTTTTAATAATAAGAAAAGCAAGGGACGCCCATCACACACTCTGTATCTGAAGGAGCAGACTAGGTAATGTAATTCTTGACAGTGTCAAGCTTCAGTAAACCCACCTCCTCTTTTCTAGAGTGACTGTTGGCTATTATGCAGTCCGGAAATGAACACAGCAAGAAGAGCAAAAGAACATTAAAAACTGAATTGGGGGAGGGAGAAGCTGCTAAATTTAGCAAAGGTAAGGCCCGGGGAAGAAACAATGAGAGAAAGATGCAGGGACCGTGCCAGAAATGCTCGTTTATTATTCTTCATCATGGAAGTTTGCTGTGAGATGCTGGCACAAGGAGGCCACGTGAACCACCTGGACTCAGGCTCCCTTTGGTGAAGTGTTAAGAAAACACAAAACTTACAAAAATATTAGCCCTGCTCTTGGAGATGATCAATCAATTTAAGGAAATTCCCCAAGGGGAGGTAAGGCCCTGGAAATCTGGTCCTAAGGAAAGCACAGTGAAAAAGCACCACTGTACATTTAGGAGTGTTGCATGGTCTACCTGGCAGGAGAATGCAGACACAGTGGCCCTCAGAGGTGAGACTCAGCTCTTCTGTGGAATCAGGCTGAAAACAGTGTTTTTAAACCCAATTTCTGTACCTGAACACCTGCTCTCAAACTACATCCAGGACCACAGTTCCCCCAGTGCCTTCCCATTGTCCACCAGTGCTTTTATGATTCCTGTGAATCACAACAGGAGCAGCAACTGGGACATCAGCAAGAAGCCCCGGCACTGAGCACAGGCCAATAAACTTCCCTAAGGTCGATGAAGAAGCCCCAACACAACACTGAGTCCACATGGTCTGGGTTTTTTCTTTCCTGTTTCATTACCTATTGTTCAAAARTCTTGATCATTTTCCCCAAGACTTTCCTTACTAGCCTGGAAATCCCAGTGCTCCACTCTCTGGTTCCAGTTTCACCTCCTTGGATAAGCTTTGCAAAGGCAAGATGTTGATCACTGTTGTAGAGGGTGGTGGCTTGCAGGGGTCTATGTATTTTATTTGGTCTATTTGGAATACATATGTATGTGCATGTACATGTATTTGTGTGTGTGTGTGTGTGTGTGTGTGTGTGTGTATCTGCGTGTATACTATTTAAATGTGGTGAACAGGTGGACACAGCAAGGTAGGAGCATAGGTCTCTATGAGGTAGTATCAAATGAGAAGAGTTGTCCAAGGCACAGAGGTGATGTGAAGAGGCCATCCCTCACCATTTCACATTTATATACACACATATACATGTATATATATTTGAAAATTTTCATAATAAAAAGGTGGGGTGGGCACAGCACCCGCATTATCCAACTGCTGTGTTTCAAGGTCTAGCCCCACTCTTAGTCATTTACTCTGCCTGGAATGTTCTCCACTTCATCATTGCTTATTAGAACCCTGCTGGACCTTCAAGGAATCCTCCAGAGAGCCCTTCTTTATGAAGCTGACTTTGCTTCTTGTACTTGGACATAACCTCCCCTTCTATTCTCTGTCTCTATGGTGTCTACTGTTATAATTGGACTTTTATTCTCATGTGTACATTTGTCTCATGGCTTCAATTAGATTGTGAGCCTCAGAGAGTCAACTCCATCACATCTTATTTATCTAGGCATTTCCCCCAGTGCCTTCCACATTGTAGGCACTCAATAAATATTTGTTGACTGAAAAATGACTTTGCATGAATAAGAACAGCTAATAAAGTTAACAATCAAACCCCAGGGGGTTTGTCTAAACCTCAGGTAAGGAAAGAGCAGCCTTGTCCAGTACCTTCTTCATGGTTCTGATGCAGTAGGACCTCTGGCTGAGTGTGGATAGAGTTTCCAGGGTGGAAGAATGGTGAGAAAAGAATCCGAGGTTTCCTCTGCTTCAGGATATGCTGAAGGAGTTCATAAAGCACATCACCTGGGAAGAAAAGAAATGGGAGAGAGACGGCATACTTATTCCACTGCTGCTGACTGGGCTGAAGCTACGTGACTGGCACTTCGGTATGGACAGTCGGTAAAAATAATGGGCATGCCAAGTGTCCTCGTGGAGCTCACAGGGACAGGACACAGCCCTTGAAACTCAAGACGTCAGAACCATGTGATTTTTTAAAATTAAACATTTTTGATTATGAAAGCAGTATATAAGAATAGTTTTTAAAAATGTGCAAAACCAGAAAGGAAACAAAACCACCTAGATTTCCATTATGAAGTCAGAGAAGCCCTGGTAATGATGTCTACCGTTATGTAGTGAGGATCTGGTTTTAGTAGTTAGGAACCACTTTTCCCCTCTACCTTAGGTTTTGAGGATGTTCCCACATTACCGAATTGCTTTAGGAGCTGGCTAATGATAGCCTATTAGAGTAACATCCCAGACATTAGGAGGAATTTAAATTTTCCCAATTTAATTCCTATTATTTTTGTGAAAATATCCTCTTTTACATATCTCTTTGTTTGTACTTCAGATTATTCAAAGAATTACGAAGTCAATTTGTATGAACATATTTTATGTTCCGATGACAACTCAGATTCTTTACAGAAACCTTCCCAACAGAGACAAATACGCCTTTCTAACTGACTCCAACCCTGGGCAGGAAGAGAATAAAAATGAACAAAATTCACAAGTCCGGTCAGAGGTGCTAACTATTGACGATGCTCTATAAGGAACTGGCACAGTCTGGGATGCTTCCCTCCTTTAAAAATATATATAGGCATTATGCCAAGGTTCTACAAGCTCTAGAGAATCATCTTAAGATGTCAGCCGCTGGCAGAAGATGGTGGGGGCCGGTTTGAGCGGAGGCCCCTCTGTTCTGATATAGTTGGTATTTGAAGTGTCCACTGAAAATAGTTAATTAGCAAAGTAACTGTCATGGTCTGGTCCTCCCCTTTGGCTTAAATCCAAGTTCAAAATGCAGGTGGGTGCTTCAAAACCTTATAAGGATGGGTGGTTAATCTTTAAAATGCTGTCCCCCCTACACCCTTCCCTACACAGAGATATGCAGTCAACAATTGTACCAAACAATGGGCCTTTGTTTCTAATTTTAGCCATTTTTTAACAGATACTTTAATTAACAACTTTAACTGCATATTCTGGGCTATAGATATTGCTATATTATTTTTTTCCTCCAAATTTAGCACGTATCTGAATTCCATATTAATTTCTTTCTTTCTGCAAATCTCCACTCCACTGTTTGTACCACATGAAGTTCCATGGCTACCCGATCCCAAGAAATTCCTGGGGGAACCTTTTGACCTTGCTTTTAAAAACTTTGTTCTTTCCTCCACCTTTGAATTTTGGTTGCTATTAGTGTAACTTACTGCCACTACTATTTGGATAAGAAAAGGCTTCAAAGAGATGAAGATGAAGATGAAGTCTCTTGGGTGTTTCATTAAAAGGAGACAGGCAGGAAAATGCAAAGGTGTTCTGACCACACTTTTGGAAATGTCACGGATCAGGGAGGACCTGGCACACGTGGCCATGTTTGAGAGCGGGGAAGGGCTCTGGCACTCATGGACTCCAAATCTAGTAGTCATGGTGATGGCTCTGATGAAATGGGGATGCGCAGCCCAAAATACAGTCCTATTTTAATGATTCGTATTTTAATCTCACATAAAAATAAGTCCCTAATCAACACTTGGGTGTTTTTTTTTTTTTTTTTTTGGTTTAGTGTAATGTCTTCCTGAACTTTTCCTAATTTACATGGCCTCACACTTGCTGGGTTTGATCCTGTGGGTTTGATCAATGTTTTATTTCAGTAGTTGCAGAACAGAAAATGAAAACATTAAAAAATGTGTTCCTGATGATTACTATTACTAAAAAAAAAATGGTCTGTAATTAGTGTATCCATTTTGGAAGGGGAGGCCAGGAAATATAAATTTAGTGTCTGTGAGGGTGTTGGAGGCTGTTCACGCAGCAAGGCAGCTGAGGTGCAGTGAGGGGCACAGACTGCGGAGGCAACCGCCTGGGCATCAGGTCACCTTGAGCAAGTCCCAGGACTTCTCTGCAGAATGAAATTGTAGCACCTATCTCAGATGCTGGCTGTGAGGGTTACATGAGGGAAATGTCTAGAAGTACCTGGAGCAGGGTTAATGTACATGTTGCCCTCAAGTCTTCCTTGGAGGCTGGCTCCGGGTTGGAGAAGCTCCCTGGTGGGGACCAGAACAGGGGCTGGAGGGGAGGAAGCCACTCTCCTCTGTTCATAAAGGAAGTGAGGCAAGAGAACAGAATGGTTTGGTCTATGCTCTGAAGCTTAGCTGACTGATACTTCCTTAGGCAAATCTCTTAACCTTTCCAATCCTCATTTCCTCATCTAGAAAATGGTAATCAGCATCCACTCTGCAGGATTTTTGGCAGGATTCATGGAGTGACATGGTCAATAACAAAAAGCTCAATGCAGCATCAGGCAAAAAGTAAGCGCTCAGCAAACACTAGCTATGGCTGTCACCACCACCATCACTCACTCTACATTATTGTTATTAATATTAGTATTCAAGGGGCTTAGGTCAGCTTTGTAGGCCCCTAGAGATGTCTCACATGGAAAATAGAAGAGGAGGGTCTGGATCATGGTTGTGGGTTCCTGGGACCCTGCAGCTGGCCTTGCTAGGTCACGCCCTCAGAGACACTGACATGTGCTCTGCCTCACACTCTCCCAGGCCTGCTGGCTGGTTGGCTTTGGACTCTCTCATCCTGGAGCTGGCCAAGAATGCCAGTCAGTGAAGCTTCTCCCTGAGCATGTAGGAGAAAGCAGGGGGAGGTTGAGCCAAGCAGGACTCTTGCCAGTTTCATACCTAAACTGTGAGCCTATTTTGACTACTGCTAAGATAACAGTCATAAATGCCATCTAGTGGGGGTGGCTATCAAGTGAGCATGGACCCAAGTCCAAGGTGGTTGGCCAGAAAAAAATTTAATTTTAAGACTCTAGAGTGTGACCATGACTAGACCAATCCATTCAAAGACACCTTTTCACAGTAATCAGGATCTTGGTCAGGGAATGTGACTGGATTAGCATAAACATATCACTACCATGGGAGTGTGGGGCAGATGAGCTGTGTAAGAACTATGCATGTTGCATGACTGGTGTACCTGTAATGACATGGCATCTTAGGCCTAGAGAGGATTTAGTGGTTTCTTACATTGACTCAAACTTCTGTTTGGTATGAGTCCCCAGCTACTCTTTCTCTGCCAAGAAGTAGCCTTGGACGAGTATGTCCTGTGATGGGCAGCTGGCCATGGCATAAGCAAACCATATTTGGATGGCTATAGTTGGTAGAAAATTCTGTTGAGTTGGAATCTGGCCATCCCTGTACCTAAGTTCTTAGTCTTGGCTTCTGGAGAACACAAATCGTGTGTTTTATCTATAACAGGTTTCTAAATGAAGATGCCCTTCCAACTTTCTCCTGTCCACTGCCCCTTAGCTCTTCCAACACCCAGCCTGTTCTACCAATACACTCTTCAAATCCTCATATACACAGGAGATCATATCTAAGAAGTATATGAACAAAAAGGCTCTCTGGTATATAGAAGATATTTTTTAAAAAATATTATCACTAGCCTACTGAAAACAAAGAGCATGAGCCATAGTCTTATATATCTAACTTAGCAAATGACCCCTGGCTTAAATTCAAGTGGCATTTAAAAAAATTCTTTGTGCCTTTGGTTCTTGTTAAATCTTYTCCATCATCCCAGAAAAGATGTAACTATACTAACTAATGCTTTATTGCACTAAGCAATGGAATCCAGGGCTGTAGGTCAAAGGACAATAGCTTTTTATTTGTCCCTCCAAATATCTTTGTGCGTACATACATAGTTCATGTACTCATGTGACAGGTAGAGGAGGATTTGTCATGAAGTTAGCAAGTTTCGGGGCACTTCACTTGCATAAGTCTCTGCAAAGGGTCCTAGACGTATTTGTATCCCCCAAATTATAAGCTTTAGGTCTTAAAATATAGATATTCTTGTGGGTGCCCACACAAATAGACATAATACACATACCATATTGACATGCATATCTTGACGTGACAAGCTAGGATGTACTTTGAGAATCCTAGATTCTATTATTTTATTGAAATTTGTTTCAAATGGATAGTAGAGAAAGTGAACAATACCACAATAAGTTGTCTTATCAACCATACCACTCTCTGGAGACCAAGAAAGTACAGATGCTACTGAGAAGGGGGTGTTAAAATTCATTTAAGTTATTTTTACTTTTGGAGGAAAATACTGGGGCTCTGAAGTAGGGTAGTCCCAAGTTTGAGTCCTGGTTCCTCTGTTGCCAGTTGCATGCCCTTAGGCAAATTATATTCCTCTTTGAACCTCAGCTGAAGGCTTAGTTCAGTATTTTGTGTAAAACGAGAACAATGCCATGGACTTGGCAGGGCTGTTATGGGAACCAAATTAGATGACATGTACAAAGCACAGGTACCTAACATGATGGATGCTCAGTAGATGGTATCCCTTGGAAGTATAATTGTTAACAGACAAATCTCAAATACTCCCTTTGCTTCAGTGTTTTTGTATTGAAAGCACATGTATAAGTTTCACAAATCATTTTCGTATGAATGGTGTATTTTTTGGTCCCAGTTGACTAAATGCCGATTCATAAAGGCATTTCTAGTTACAGTCATCACTTTCCATGGTTCCCCTCATTCACAGTCATCTCATCAAATCTCTTCTTGGGGTTTTTGCTTTTAGTTTTTAAGCAGTTGCAAGCCCCCCTCCCCTCTTTTTGTCCCCATCCCCTCCATGTCTTGCTCTGTCCCTCTTGCCCCTCCATAGTCAAACTGCCTGGACGGGCTACCAACTATTGCTCTCTCCACTTACTTCTATTCTGGTCTCCCCTCTAACCCTTCCTCCAAAAGGGTCCTCCTGAAATCATCCTTCTGCTATCAAAGTGGTTGGTCCTGGGGAACTGCCTGGCTTCT